TTATTATTATTATTATTATTATTATTATTATTATTACTATTATTATTATTATTATTATTATTATTATTATTATTATTATTATTTACAAAGTGTGTAAAATAAGAACATTGAGCCTGATATCGGCCAAACATAAGAACAGTGGAACTCGACAAAATTGGTTCTTATAAAAAAAAGTGTACTAAATTAAAGTAAGTGTGCTTAATGTACCGTACTAAATTAAAATTGGTACTGTCATGGGAATAGGCGTAGTTATAGGTCTATATGTCTTATTAAAATATTACTTAATGATTGTGTTAAATTAGCTGTAATTAATATCAATTCCTTGTCAATAATAGGCATAATTAATAGGCTAAATGTTAATTATTATTCATCATTATTGATACCGTAATTATTAATAATAATTATTATTCAACTTTTGGGGTAATATTCGTATATTAAAGCTGATTATTAAAGTAAAATGATGATGTGAGTATACTGTATATCGATCTCCATGTTTCCTTGCTTCTGTATTTACAACTTTATAATTATAATGTCGGGTCTAATATACAAATGTCTGCATAACAGACTCGGCCGGCCCTTGCAAAAGTCTGGTTTTTTCCAAAAAAATAAACTGTTTCCAGTGGTGGGGCCAGAAATTTGCCGACAAGGGGTACAACGCGTCAGACGGAGTGGTCAGATGGGGTCCAAGGCGACGACGAAGCCTCGGTCGTCGGCCCTGCATAAAAAAAAATCCCTGTTGGATTGGAGTTTATAGAGTTTTTATATGGCTTAATTTGGTCCTAAATGTGCCTTTAGACCACAATATTAGGGATTGGCAATCAAAATAGCGTTATTTGGATAGGCAAATTATTATTTTTTAAAATATTTGTTCCGACGACCTAGTCGTTCGTCGGACGACAGGGGCCAGGCTTGTCTGACAGGGGTAATCCCTCCTCCGCTGGCACTACCACTGTCTGCTTCTGCAAGGCCGACGGCTGTGTATTACTATAATAGGCCTTTTTTCCCCCATACAAATAATCTGGTGAATGGACCATAATTGAAAGGTTTCGTCTTATAAACTATAAAATAAAAACATAATTTATTCTGAAAATAGTCTGACTCTTGGCTTGCTTAGTCTACACAAGGTGTCACTACAACTTTCAGGAGTATTTCCAACATTCAATATCATCATCAATGTCATAATACACTTTTATGCCTACAGAAGACAATAAGAGAATACACTAGACCCTCTTTTTTCTTGCTAAAGCAACAAATACAGTACAAGAAATTGCTTCGTCATACATTGAATAATAAAAAATGAAATTCATATTTACAAGAGATATCACAGACTCCCGGATCTGGTAATTGATTATTCATGATATTTAAATATATTGTTCCACGTGCTGCTAGATTTTAAGTCTTTACCTATACATGGACACACACATTGTGCTTGCATGTCGCCCTCTACGACAGAAGTGATACGACTTATTATTGTGGTACTGTACATCATTCCTGATGATGACATAATTAATGTCGAAATATTGAATCCCAACACGATGGCGTATATTTCAATACTTGGAGTATGTATTATACTTTCGTACTTGGTTTAATTTATGACGTTTTAATATTCATTGGTAATTCATACATCTAATCGTTTTTTTATGACTGAAACTATCATATTTCATGTCCAGCCTTAAGAATCTAAAAAAATATCAATAGTTATTATTCAATTAACCCGTTATTTACACAAATTGAATTTCCGTCTGTTCCTTTCAGATACTCAGTCGACCACACTCGTGCGCCATTTCAACCATTCAGTGGAGGTAATGTTTCGGCGGTGTTTCATGTGGTTGGGATGTACTGGCTGACAACCTGACAATTTCTCGCTAATAATCCATGAATTTCCCTACAATTGCCTGTGTGCTGGAAGGAATGCGTATAAAATTCCCACGGGCTGGTGCAGTTTAGATTTGTGTTGAAAGATTACATTTTGAGTTTCGAATACTTTACTTGTTGGCGCTTCAGTGAAAGAGATACCGTACCGTCTCTTTGTGTGTGGATAAGCTTCTTATTGACCATCTATCCCTTTCCCCTTTCCCTCTCTAAGCCTTTATAGGGAACGTTCAGCAGTGCTCTGGTATATAAATACAAATATTGATATGCAGGCTTTAATCCATAGCCTTGTGTCCCAGCGATGGTGTAATGAACATAATATGAGAATACTCAACTCATGTTTCAGGAGTAAGAGAGTTCATAGAAAAACATGGAGACATAAAGCTACTGGAAGATGGAAGCGAATTGACTACATCTGCTCTAACAGGTGGATAGAAAGAATGGTGGCAGATTGCCGTGTACACATTGGTGCTTCACGTTTATTTGATACTGACCACCGGATGGTGATGATGAATATCAGATTCCCAGTTTGCGCGAAGAGGAAAGAGGTGTTCAGTAAGCAGAGAAAAAAGAAAAGTCAGAAGGCAAAAACCGACTACTCAGCACTGGTGTATGATCCTGAAGTAAGGAGTAAGCTTACTGAACAACTTGATATGGCATTTGATCAAATGATACCAGATGATGTAAACAAATTGAACGAGATCGTTGTGACCAAGGTCCGTGAATGTGCTGATGAGGTGTGTCCTAAATTGGAAGCAGTGAAGAGAAAAGAACCATGGGATGATGAAGAATTAAAGAAGCTTATTGATGATCAAAGGAAATGTAAAGACTTGACGATTCTAAGAAAGCAACAGAAAAAGATAAAGAAAAAACAGAACGAATTAAAGAACAAATATTATGAAAAGTTAGCCAACAACCTAAATAGTGTTGCAGAAGCCCGAACAGTTGAAAAGGAATTTGCCTTAGCAAAGAAATTTACAGTCATGAAGACATCAAATAAATTAAGAATTCAGAACAACAAACTTAAAGAACACTTTCAAACCCATTTTGGTGACATAAATAACACAGAAAGATAAAAATTGTTAGGCCTACAAGTACCTATTTTAATTATCAAGAATAAATCAGTAATTATACATTAAGCTTATGCCTATTCGGCTTCATTTTCATAATCTTGTCGATTTTAGGCCTACCACTAATCGAGGCATCCAGATCCAATCTACTGTAACCCAATGGCGAAAAACACTTAATGCCAAAAATTTAATTTTCAAAGATACTGTTGGTAATGCTATACAGTAATAGTGACTCTGTAGTATGGCTCCCTCTAGAGATTAGAATGCAGATCCAAAGAGTATAAAACTGCAGAAGTCCGACTGCCGGGGATTCACTGGAACGGAAAAAGTACTTCCACGAAGTAAGAGTTTCTAAATTATCTGTAGGGCGTCGGCGTCCCTATTACGTGGCAGTACTTTTAGCGTTCCATTGCCTGCATACCTTGCTGCATATAAAAACAGAGCAGTCGGACCTCTAGCAGTTTTATACTCTTTGGCGGACCTGATTTTACCATCATCGCTGGGGGCGATCCAGGCAGGAACTCTAAGAAAACTCTCTATTTTGAAATAAATTTAGATTTAGGCCTATGATGCTTACTTATTGTCTTTAGTCAAAATGGACATTAAGTTTTAGTTCGTAATTCGTTGTGATCAATTTTGTAACTTTGTTACATGTTTTTTTTAATTTTATTTATTTTTTTTTTTTGGCAGAACGGTGGCAAAAACAGATTTGGCCACGTGGAAATTGAGATAAAAAGCATAGGATACATTTGTAAATGCATCCTATACCCGTCTACTACAAACAGAGGGTCTTTTTTCACTTCCCTTGTGGCACTCGACGATGTCCTTGTTTGAGGTAATAAGGTAATAGTAAAGGAAGTACAGCGAAGGAGATATGTATTAAGCAAAATGTTTTTGTCACCAAGGCAGTCAATTTTTTGCAGGGGGCAGTGAAGGGATTGGGTTGGAAAACTATATTTCTTACCATTTTATTTCATACCATTGAATAAGCTTTACTACCCAACTTGTTTTTCTTGTTTTCTTAAGTGCAGACGCTTTGTTATTATGCTGTATAGAAATTTACCTTAATTTCCATTATCATCAACATCATCATCATCAATATCATTATCATTACTATCGCCACCTTCATCATCATTTAATCATCATCGTCGTCGTCGTTGTTTTTACTGCATAGGTTTACAATGCTTGAAGCAACAAGCAACTCACATCAATATGATTTAACAAATTAAGTCAACATAGAGTACATTGAAGATCATTATTTCATAGGCGCTTTTTATCCACAAATATTGACAACATTTGAAAAATATAGACTGTACAATGAATACAATTGCATTATGTCTCGTTAATAGCACAGTTTAATACGAATTTCGTTTCGATATAAAACATGGTTGAAGAACAAGTATACATTATTTACAACTAAGAATTGATACATCTTCAAAGGATATTTCGAAGCCTAATGCTTCTACTGCTTAAGCCTACAAAATAACATAGAGCATCGCCTTGAAGCCACCATACCTAGCTATAACATTCGCAATGAATAGATTTTGAAATTTCGCACCATTATGCAAAATAGCTAAATCAACATACAACGAATTAACGTTCTGCCAAATTCGCATTATTGCGCAGACTACGAAGTTGTGCGCAAGCTCAATCATGGAGCAATACGCTCCATGGTAGAATTGTGAGAAAGTGTCTTCACAAATAAAGTACAAAAACATGAATAATACAATAGTGGTTTTCCTGTCTCGATCATAACCTACCCGACGGCTATCCATCTAAAGCATATATCTTTGTCATGTTTGATATCACAACCAGATGAGAGTGCAGACTGAAGTCTATAGAGTTATATGCCCTATGTTCAGTAGACAGGCGCTAAAAACCCCCGACAATTTCTCTGTAGGCGGTTTAAAAAAAACGGAGTCACTGAACGCACTTGGTGAAGAAAAATTAACCCCGTGCGTTTCCATACTCCCACTAACATAACATATTATCCGCAACCGACTCCTCTGAACATTTTACGTTTAAACTTTTTAAACTCTTGGAATGAATGCAGCGAAGGTCTATTTCATGTGCATGTGATGTCAAAATTGTTTACAAAATATCCTTATTTACAATAAATACTTGAACAAAGTAAGAAACACAGTGATTTGATTGTCGACTTCAGTGTCATTTCACACAATTCGTAATAAACTACAGAAGCCTAGGTTTCCAATCTACTTTTGGGAATGTTTAAGTGGTGTATTTTCAATAGCACATAAAGTACATTATTGATACGTCATGAATAATAGGCCTATATGTATCAATTTCAATAAACCTAGTAGAATTGTGCAAATCGACTGACGTCACATGAAATAATTGTATTCCAACCCAAGGCGAACACATGACTGTGACCAACTGAACCATCTAGTAGTTTTAACTGTGTATAGCTATCTCAAACTCAAGACATAACAAACAATCATGAGTTTATTCTTTATTTTCTGTATGTTTATAAAATCGTTAGAAGTTTTATAACGATCTTAAAAAATAATTGTAATAATTACTTCGACCGATTTCAGTAACTGTTAATAATTAAAACTATAATACTCAGAGATCAGATCTACGTTTTGGCTCATACGCCGTATGGTATGTAAAATTTACAAAATTTAAAATATCATTTACCATCTACATGCACTTGAAAATACGAAAAGAAAAGACCTGGCGAAGGAGCAACACTCTACAATGATTTCGAATTTGAAGGCAATCTGTTGTAGCTAATACTTCTAGAATCGGCCTCTGTAGTAGCACGTTCAAGTATTAGGCTAGTGTTTAACTTTCTAGGTATATATATATTTTTAAAAAGATACGTAATGATTCAGTTAATCTTCACCAATGAAAAAGATTCATTTAAACTTCACCAACGAAAAAGTTCGCAACTTCCATGTGTATAATAAAAGTTCACATTCAGTTAAAACCAGGGTTGAAATCAACAATCGTTCCCATGTAATTAAAATTAAAATACATCCGGTTAACTTGATTATAGAAATAACAGAAAAATATATATCCGTATTTTCCAATTTTCATTGTTCGTACATAAAATATGTTTCCTATAAACATTGATCCTACAAATATCACAAGAACGTGTACATATATGAAGACAACATATTGCAAAATATATACTCATCCAGAAATTTAAAACAGTATGTAAATATGGGTTAAACCAAGACGATTGTGGTGTAGGAATACGTGATATAGCGTGGTATAGATCGACATTTAACGCAAGGTTTGACACCGAAAGTTGGAACTTGGACCAGCGTTCGGTAGGCTTTCGCAGGAAAATTTTCCTTTTCCTTTGAAAATCTGGATTATGTGTGAATGAACTTTAACAGTACACCAAATCAAGCTAAAATACATTTCAATTTAATGACAGGGACACTTAACGACATGGAATAATCATCTTTTCTCTTAATTAAAAGAGCCCAAGAAGCAAGAATAAAACGGGAAATATCTACAAAAAACTTACAAATTTAAGTTTTCACAAATTGATATTAATACTGGTTAATGCTTATGTTTTTTTCTTATAGGATGTACAGTATTTTAAAAGTTGGGAATTAATGAGTTGGAATTCAAAACATTATCGTACTATGTTGGATACGATAGAATGTATTGATGCGGAATCGTGATGCTTTCTTGGGATGCCATGATACATTTCTTAGGCATTCATTTTATCTTTCGAGGGTCGTAATATTATTTTACCAGTACTGTACATGAATAATCTAAATGAATCTGTCGGTTGATTGAATAATCTACGATGGTATGAAACGTAATACAGTATTATATTCATAACATTAAGGATATAATTTTTGTTGTATCATTCAACATCAATATTTTTATATAAATGTTAATAATAATGATGGTTGTATAATAACAGTAATAATACATATTACAGCATTGTTATTGTTAATGTTAATTAACATTGTTAATGTTAACTATAGCAGTAAACATAGTAAATATTATAACAGTAACAATAACAATATCAGAGATAATAAGATATCATTATGTTAATTAGTAATTATATAACAATATTATTTTATGCTATTACCAATTAATAATAGGCGTAATAATGATAATGATGATACTGGTGGCGGTGGTAACGATGATGATAATACTCTTATTATATGATTATAGTAAGCAACATACGGGTGTTGTATAAATAGGGTTGTTTCTGTATCTGCGGCGCCAAACAAAACACGTACTATACCTCGTATTTGATGCATGCACTACCTATGTAAAAATATCACTTATCAACATATTCCTAAGCAATATTTTTAATCGTAAAGATTCATAAAAACAATCTATCTCCGTATCGTATTGCAAAGTTAAATAACAAAAAAAAAATAAATAAAATAAAGAATATTAACAACGAAAGCAGGGCACTGACTGCGTCCGACGATTCTATGGAGAACGCAACGCGACGACGCGGGCACAAAGTGTCGTTTTAATGACGATCCGTTCTCAGACTGCCACCGAAAATCAGTAGGCGGCGTCGCGTCATAAGCGCTCCCAGGGAGCGAAGTTGTTTTTATCGCACTGCGGTCGTACGACGCAGTGTGTTCACAGCTTTATGCTCAGTGGCGGATTCAAGGCAGGAGGTGGAGGCAGCGGCCCGGGATCCCTAAATTTTTCAGAATAAAAAAAAAAAAATGAGAAAGAAAATTCGACTCAAATTTTGAGTGCCATTTCCGGCCATCTAGAGGTGTCCTAAACATATATTTTCTTACCTCGAAGTCCCAACCATGTTTGAGGCTGAGGTAGTATAGGGCCCACACCCTAAATCTGGGAAAGTCTCTCCGGGGCCCTCTGTTTCAAATTCCTGGATTCGCCACTGATGCATTATCAGTAACACTATAAATTCTTAGCACAGAATAAGTAAAGTATAACATAAATAAATCATAATATAAATTAATTAGAAGAGTATAACTAGACTTTATTAATAATGCCTAATACAAAGTGTTTTAACAATCGATATCTGTGTGTAATTAACGCATTTAGACAATGTTCATTCCTCCCAGATCTAAACATAAACACCAACGGAATAATTACGATGGTGACGAAACATATACACAAAAATTAGTCTTTGGAAAGCATTTGCTTTTATAAAGATCAGATCCGTTGCCATCTGAACGTCCGATAAACCATAATAGACTACCGTAATGTATTTTATAGAATGTTGTATTTCAGAGTTGGTACAGCAACGAATACTGGTTCTTTTTCTGATTGTTTTCAGCTTATGTTTGGTCAAGCTCATAGTTTGACCAGTGCGCAAGTTGTATATATAATATGGTAGCATCTTGAAGTATGTGACTTTTCCAAGGCTTACAACCGTGCGGGATGATGTCCATTGATTTCAAGAAGACAAACGCCCATTCGGACCTTGATTATTTATAGTCATTTTCTCTATGTGTACCATAGGTATCATGTTGATTGGTCATATCTAATGGTCTGGGCCTACTAATGACGTTATCGTTCGCATTTCCGTAACCTGTCTGAGGTACCATGTTTGGGTTCATATCCGGACTAGGTGTCATGTCACCATCATTGACCATCCCGTTGCCGAGTCCGTTACCGTTGAGATCCGTTGCTGTCTGAAGGTTACTGGTGCTTCCTGGAGGTAGGCCTAGCTTTGCTTCCATTGCGTGGAGTCTTTTTGTGGCAATTTCTTTGTCTCTTGCTCCCTTACACCGCTTCCATTTCATTCGTCGGTTCTGAAACCAGACTTTGACCTGAAAGTAATAACGGAGAGCAATGTAAAAAACTATACTATTTAAGAGGAATCACGTTATAAAGAAAATACATTCATAATATATATGTGATGATAACATTTTCTCCAATTATTGTATCCTATTCATAATTCAAGATAATGTATTGTATCTGCTAAAAAAATATGACTGTACGCTTTCATAAACATTACCCCCTATGAAGTCGGTTATGTACAATAAATGGTAATAAGCTTATAATTACTGTACTGCTCTTTATAGGCCTAATTACGAAGCTTAGCCTACACCAAATCATTTTTTTTCTAAGGCGTTTTAAACACAAGCAAATTTATTAAATGCAAGCTGTTGAAAAGATGATGTTATGTATTATTAAATGCCAAGGTGTTTGACACTCTTGCAAAATACTTGTAAATCGTTAAATGGGTTTTTGAAAAGATTTGTCACAGAAATTTTTCTTCGAATCCTAAAATCCTAAATAATAAAAATAAGTAATAAATATAATTCTCATCAAATACTATAAATTTACTAAAGAAGGCGGAAATTCAATGAGTCAAACAAACAATATAAATTAATATATGAAACAATAATCTTTTGTAATATATATTTAAACCCATACATGTAAAACTTAAAAGCGGCCTAGGAATAATGCTTGATTGATTGATTGACACATTTTAAAAGGTCCAAATAAAAATATCACATGAAAGCAGAGAGCCGTATCACAACAGAGGAACTACTGATACCGAAACGTTCTTTAACATGCTTAATATTGTAGAAAATTAAATCGATTTCGGGAGCTTAGCAACGGTGATTGTTTTATCGCGCCGGTTAGACACAAGAGACTGGCTCTTATTTTATTAGCTTATCATACAATTAGTGATTTTTTATGAGCTATATTTTGTACAACCCCCACAAAGCTAGCTTGTATGGAGGGTTAACCAACCCGGCTGTAGGGTTAATACTAAACACGCTTGTCATAAAATTCGATTTAATTTAGTTATAATTTAACCTGACCCTGGCAAAGTACAGGATTTAAAAGTAATGGCTTGTTTTGACACGCTCGCTAATAATCAATAAAACATGGTTTTTATGTAAAGGCATTGGAATATTCTAGGCCTATGGTATTACATTACTCGATTATTATAGAATCGCTGATCCTAATCCGTGTATACGATCTTTACCTAGAATTAACGAACCTCGACGTAGGCCGGCAGTGGACGTCAGGAGTGTCGATATTTTGTAACTCGGACTTTTGGTAACCCTGCCGATGACATTCCGTAACTTACAATATATTGGTTACGAAATGTCCGCGTCAGAGTTACGAATCACCACCCCGTCATAATATGAAAATGCGGTCAATGCTTCGTGTAAAATTTATATTGAGCATTTGTCTTAGAATTTACTGAATGACAAATACCTCCGGTCATTATTAGTGAATGGAATATATTATTATTAGGCCTAATTAATCTGATTACATTTTTTTTTTCATGAGTGAAAGATTGGAAATTAAAGGCTAATAATAATAATAATAATAATAATAATAATAATAATAATAATAATAATAATAAAATAAAAATATAATATATTTTGTTAGACTGTATACGTACCGGCCTATTGTACTTTCATTTTTCGTCAGCCCTTTGTCTAATATTAACAAATCAAGTGCCTATAATAATATAGGCCTAGGCTATATTTAGGCTACGATCCTCCATTTGGGATTAGATGAGGAAATGGCTCTTAATGTGCACCATTAACATTACAGATAGAATATAGTAAGTACATAAGATGCATATTGCATAACCCGTAAAACAAGTAAGTAAAACATTTAGAGCAAGTCGATGGTTTCCTTCTTTCAGCAACTTTTGGCTTGGATTTATCGTGAAATTGTAGGCCTCCCACGCTGGGTGGGTGGGGGTGATCAGCTGTCTTCAGTGGCCAGGCCAAGGTAATATTTTCTGAGATGAGTCTGGTGATTTATGTTCACTTAACCGCTGATCTCATCGCAATATTATCTTGGGGCCAATAAGATGTTTTTCTGTCTTGACAGAAAAGCACCAAGAGTGTTGAAACTGAACAGAGTTTTAAATAAATGCTAACTTACGACTCCCAAAAGTATGGCCGGAATGCGAACCTAAAACGGCATAATTCTCTCCCAAGGGATAAGAGCAATAAAGATGACCAAGAGTTATGATCAATTTAACATTATTGGTGTAAACTTTATTGATAATTTATTCCGAACCTGGAACTTGATGAACTTCATGTTAATGACAGTCAATTAAAAAAAAAAAAGTTTGTTTAGTGTTCATGCCAGACCATAGTTTTATGCCTAGGTATAATCTAAATATTTGCATAACAGACAGGCCTATCTCTACATCGGTATCTGAAGATAGATAGGCCCGCATCCATCTGTGCTACACAGCCTAATTTTAATATTATTTACTACAATAACATAGCCAGTCTAATGTATTACGCCGCAGAGTTTTGAATTGGTGCGAGACATTTATAACATTTGCATCTTCAAAGTGTCGATGGCTTTAGCAATCATATCAGTAACTAACAATAACGATAACAACTTTATAACTGAAGAGTCAAATTACATATACTATGACACATTATGCAATATTGATGCTTTTAACAGATTTATCAATTTATTCTATTTTATAAACAATACATTAGCGAATATTACTGATTAGCAAACAGCATATAATGGCTAACACTGTACGCTACAATAAACATCAGACAGTTACTTTACTTTATTTCCCAGGCGTTAAGTGTTCTATCGTAGTTTGTTTATTATTCGACCTACTGTACTACAGTGCAGACGAGACATGTTAAATCGCATTTAGTTTCCCTATCTATGAGGAAATAT